CACTTTTTTTAAAAAAAAATGTACTTTGCAAATGACTTCCCATTGAAGATAAACTTTCATTAAAAAAGAAAAAAACATTTATAGTATGAGAGAAGTCCGTATAAAAAAGAAGAAAATACAATTCAAATTATTTAGATATCAAAGAGCCAAGAGGATGATACACTGAGTACTGCAATGTGGTAACGTTGCTATGACTCCTAGAAGTTGATCTTTAAAATGATAGGTCTTTTTTTTTTCTCTAGGTACTTTCCACAATCTGGGATTTCCTCTCTGGCATCGACCTTTGTCTCACCCTGCACCACAGGAATTTTTCCCATGCTTGACAATCCTGTATCCACATTTGGAGATTCCAGAAAAGTGTTTCTTCTTGTATTTTCTGTTAAGAATTTACACAGTCTCACAGAACCTTTGTTAGGAATTTATACTCTAATAGAGAACCCAGCTATAATATTAATAACACATCTCCTAGTAGAGTTGTAAGAGCATTCTTGAAGTTTGAATTGTCACCTTGCATAACATAAATCCTTTTCCTACCAGGTTAATTCTTTAAGTTCTTAACTTTTTGTTTTAAAAACCTTTCAAATTTATAGGAAGAATTGCAAGAATAGTACAAAGAACTCCTACATAGCTTCTGCCCAGATTGATCAGATTCACAAATGCTGCCACATTTGCGTCTCTCTCTGTCTCCACATACACCCCCTACCCCCCACACACACACGCACACAGGCACACACACACACATACACACACACACATCTTTCCTGCTCTATTTGAAACTTAGTTCCAGATATCATAACCTTTCAACTTTCAATTTTTCACCATGTATTTGCTAAAAGCAAGTACCCTGGCTTAGCTAAGCACAGTATAATTACAAAAGTCAGGAAATCTGATACAATATTAAAATGTAACATGCAATCCATATTCCTACAATCCGTTTTCAAATTTTATCACTTGTGTTTATAATATCTTCTATAGATAATATTTCTCCTAATCCAGGGTCCAGTGCTGAATCACATATTGCATTTAGTTGTTATGTCTCTTTAATCTCCTTTAATCTGAAACTGTTTCTCAGCCCTCCTTTATCTTTCATTACATTGACATTTTTGCCCACATATTCTCTATTCTCCATTCAGCGAGCAGGTCATATCAATCCCTTCTCAAATCCTTCCAGAGATTGTCCATAAAACTTAAAACAAAATTCTGCCCTCCCTCACTCCATCAGTCTTCATATCATTGACCTACTTTATTTTTCTTCACAACATTATCAGGTGCTACAGGATGGATGGATAGGTAGGTAGGTAGGTAGGTAGGTAGATAGATAGATAGATAGATAGATAGATAATCTGGCTGTTTCTCCCAATAGGAGAAAAAAGAAATTTTGCCTATTTATTTATTAATTGTCTTCCCTGTGGCTAACAACTTTATCTTGTTCGTTACTTATTCCCAGTGACTAGAACTGTGTCTGGCATATAGTAACTGTTCAATAGTTTCTTATTAAACAAATTAGTAAATGATGATCAGATTGCCAAAAGAATAATTAAGGTATCTAGAAGTAAATGGAATTCACTAAAAAATGAGATTTATAAAAAATAAACGTATGTGTCTTTGAGGGCAGATATAAACAGGATGGTGGAGACTGCAAACAAGGCAGCAAATTTTCCAAGGGAAAAAAATATTTTCCTTAGGCAAAACTATGGAGAGAGAAAAAGATCAGCAGTTGCCAGGGGGTGATGAGGAGGTGGGAATAGGGTTGAATACGCACAGCACAGAGAATTTTTAAGGCAGTGAAAAGACACTGTATGATATTACAATGTTAGAGATGTGTCATTATACATTTGTCCAAATACATAGAATGTGCAACACCAAGAGTGAATCCAATGTCAACAATGGACTTTGGCAGTAATGATGTCAATGTTGGTTCATCAATTGTATCAAATGTACCACTCTGGTGGAGGATGTTAATATGGGGAGGCTATGCCTGTTGGGGGGCAGGTGATAAATTTAAAAAATCTCCACATCTTCCTCTTAAGTTTGCCATGAACCTAAAATTGCTCTAAAAAAATAAATCTTTAATAAAATACTCTTTATGGTGAAACACTGAAGGCAGATTTTAAGCACTGAGATCAAAAGTCAGGATCAATTTCCAGCTTTCTAAGAATAATTTAGTTTAGATTGAAGATTGTAAAAGCATCATAACAGGAAGCTTTATTATGGACATTTCAAGTGTTATGTACCCCTTGGGAGTAGTAAAAGGAGTCTCACTAGTGAAATTCAGGCAGCAGAATTTGTATAGACCACCTGCATGTCCCTGCTCTTTTATTAACAACTACACCTTTTAGTCTTTGCTTTGTTCTCATTCATATGTTGTTCACAGACTTATTTTTATAAAATGTTCAATTTACATTAAAGATGCAATAATAGTAAAGGCTATTCATATACCCTTTCCTTTTTTCTCTATTTGCTTTCATAGTTCCTCCCTCAAACCCTGTTTGTTCTCTCTCTGAATATATACTATATATAATCATTTTATTATTATCTTAGAGATTACCATTCTGGATAATCACACCATGTAGATTCAGGTTGCTTTTATTTCCAGGGTGTTCTCTTTGATTGCAAATTTAAATACTCATTCTATTCCATTTTCTTGTTTTTCTTCTTCAGGGACTCCAGTTATTCATATGGTGGCTCTTCTTTGCCTTTCTTCCATTTCAACCACTTTCCTTCCCACCCTCACCACTTGTTTCTTTGGATCATTGTCATTCTCATCATTGTTCTCCTGCCTTTCTTCAATGTCCCCTAATAGATTTTCCTTCAAATCTATTCTCTCTTAAACACCTCATATTTTAATCTGTATTTGTAAAAATAAATGAATAAATAAAGCCAACCATTTTATTCTATTTCTTTCCTGAGCTCAACTTTTATTCCATTTCTTCTTGGGTTTTGGTCCATTTCTGATCTTAGTTTTTGAATTTCAGTCAAAATGTTTACCATAGTCCAATGTGCTAGAAGCTACTTAATTCCATTTAGAGTATCACATTAAATATTCTTCTGCTTCATGGTAGCTTTTCACAGAGGAATTTCTATCCACTGAAGTGTTTTGATTTTTTCATTTTGTTTTGGTCTTACAGCAGTTTCACATAGTGAGACTGATGACATTTACACATTTGGTGGACAGGATTGACAATGAGTGGGTTTATAGGATCTCTGGTTCAAGAGCGCCCCCTCCGGTCAGAGTCATGAAGTGCAGTTTCTTTAAAATGTGGCTTTTGGTGGAGGTCGGTGGAGGAGTGATATGTCCATCAATGTTTTGGGTTTCTTTTCTCTTGTAGTATTCTAGCCTCTTTTTCCTTCACCAAAAGACTTGAAGGGGTACCCTTCCCTTACCTGCAACCTTGTTCAGCCCTGGAAGCTCCCTGTGCTATTTCAAGTTCCTTCCTTTTTAATTGGTGCTTTTATCTACCTGGATACTTTTTCCATATTTTCATACCTAAATAGACTTTCTCTTTCTGAGGATGATTTTTATACAATTTCATTTCATTCCCTTTGCACACGATCCCTTTTCTCTTCCCCAGTTTCTCTGAAAACCACTCACCATCCTCAAAGCTTGCAATGGGAGCTCACCAGGCAGCTGTACTAAAAATGAATGTTTATTTTTCTACTTACAGTAACTAGCATTTGCACTGTCCCCTAACTTCTAGTTATGTTGAAGGTGAGGGATTTATGTGGTTCAATTGGCTTCTTACTGATTTGTACAGTTTTTTGAAAGATGTAAAAAAAATTGAGATTTGGATGGCAGCAATTAATTACTTCAGCTTACTGTAAGTTGCCCATTTGTAATCCTTAATTAGATCTTTCTTCTTTATGTCTGAAATCAGATTTCTGGTTTTGCCCTTTTAATCCTGTAGTGGATGTTGTAGTGGATACTATACTATCCTATCCACCCATGTTCCCTCTTCAGGTCTGAGGCTTTTATTGCCCTGGGCATCCTGGTTACTAACCACTTACAGCTGTATCTCTCGCTAGGACAGACTCTTACCCAATGTTACACAGCCCCCACCAAGATGAAGCCACGCAGCTAATAGCTGGCTGATACAAAGTGTGGCCTCCCTTGCCTTAATTTGTGACAATTCCAAGGAGCATCCCAGCTATAGAGCTCCCTACAGGATCAGCTGAGTTCTCAGTCATAAATGCATTGCAGATGAGCTTCTCCATCTGCCCAGTCCTACCTTCCTCACTTCCTAACAGGTATATATCCAAGTGCACTCCTCAATATACCTTCTATAAAACAAGACTCTATCTCAGGATGTTTTTAGGGTATCCAACCCAAGACAATCATTATAAAACTTTGTATTGACTTATGAGACAGGCACTGTTGAAAGTCCATTGAATACACTATATACATTCCCTTAATTCTTGCAAGTAAACTGTGAGAAGGATATTATTATTATCATCTTCATATCTCAGGTGAGAAAAGAAAAATCATACAGAAGGTAGGTTCCTTCTAAATGGTCAAGGCAGGGTTTGAATATAGGCATTCTACCTTGAAAGCCCATTCTCTTCTCCACTTCACTCCACGGGCTCCCATATTGGAGTGGCATTCACTACTTCTCTGGCATGACACTTTGCCAGCCCTTTCCTCCCATCTTTCTAAGCCCTGCTGTGGAGCACAGCCAGCAGATGACACATACCAAGATGACCATAAATATCAAGATGTTTTCATTTTTTAACACATAATATTTTCATGAGTGGCTTGACTATAATGTTAGTTGCTAAAGATGGAATCTGATCTTATAAATTTACCTTTCAAAGCTTTAGCATTATAAACAGACATGCATGTTTGTAAATCCACCATATTATCACTCAGTCCTATCAAAGGACTTGTGTTCATATGCACACATATATTATCAGGTACACAATAGCACCCCCTTCTCTGTAGTTTTGTTTTTTATCTTACTTCCAAGTAATAACAATGATATTATAACATTTCTCAAAATTCTTACCTCCATCTTGAAATTTGCTTAATCTTTCAAAGTATGATGACATGGGAGCCTGTACAATGTCTAAAATAGCCAGAAGTGTTCTTGTTAGCCTTAATAACTCACTGAAACTATAAAATCCAAAGTATATAAGATTCCGAGCCAAGTGGACCACCTTAATTAAAAAAAAAAGTGAGGGGTGAGGGTGAAAGAATGGAAAAAAATTAGGAACTGAAATAAACATTGGCTTTTTCATTATCTAAATTAGTGCAGCTATTTCTAAACTTCCTAATTCTTTAACACTTAGGAATTAAAATACTTGTAAAAGCAACCACTTGAACTTTGATTTATTCACATCTGGAACTAAATCCAAATAAGATTCAGGGTGCTTTAAGGTTCTTAAAAAATTTACACTAGAATTATTTACATCCTAATTAAACATTAACTCATTTAAGTCAGCAGGATGCCACTTGATAAATGGTTACATTAATTAATTGCTTTAATAAATGGCTACTATCCAAGAAATTTGCCCAGAAATATACGTTCCCTAGGCTGTTTTGTGGTCTTCTGGATAGCACAGGGCATTCCAAGTGTGAGAGTCTACCTCCAAGATGTGGTCCCCACCACACTGTATCAGAGTTAGTCCAAATGATCAACAGAAGTGATGACATGTCACTTCCAAGATTAGATTGCAGAAGACTGTAACTTCTATCTTGGACTCCCTCTCAGATGGCTTGCACTGAGGAAGCCAGGTGCCATGTCATGAGGACACCTAGGCAGTCTACAGAAAGGCCCACATAGCAGGAAGCTGAGGTGCCAACAGCCAGCAAGGAGGTATGGCCACCAAGAACTCCTCCAGGGACCTTGGAAACAGACTGCCGAGCCCCAGATGGCTGCAATCCCAGTCAACAGCTTGCTGGCTACTCCATCACAGACCCTGAGCCAGAACCACCCAGCTAAGCTACTCCCAGGTTCCCAACCCATAGAAGCTATGATAATGTTTGTTGCTTCAGGCTGCAAAGTTTTGAAGTAATTTGTTACACACCAGTAGGTAACTAATTAATATACCAGGTATCAAGTAAGAGCATCCTTGGTCTGGTTTTGTCACTATATCCCCAAACTGATATTTCAAGTCAGTTCAATGAGAATAAAAACATCATCTCCATGGACATAGAAAAGTATCCAAACATTTTACAAAATATGCAAAACTGCCTTTGTTTTTTACATGCAAAAAATCTTATATGAATGAAACAAAAAAAAATCAAGGTAAATAGTAATTAATATACCATTATAAATAAAATATTTTGTACTGGACATAAAAGCACCAAATCTATCTTTCCCACCCCATTTATTTATTTATTGCATTTTAGGTTTTGGGGTACATGTGAAGAACATGCAAAATTGTTGCATAGGTACACACGTGGCAGTGTGATTTGCTGCCTTCCTCCCCATCACCTACATCTGGCA